GGGGGGATAATCTTCTTCTTCTTCCTTTCCTCGTCAGCCTTGAGGCATCATCATCGAACTAACTAGTCCCAGGTAAATCAGACTCATTTCATTCATCTGATTGCGTCAGGACTCGAACTCAGGTCTGTTCAATTATTGACAACTCATTGGACCGTATAGACTTAGCATTTGGCCTTGCTATTCCCAATGCAATTCAATTTCATTCTTCTTCTTCTCCTTCTTTTTAATTGTGCTGTATCTTGCTTTTTTTGTTTTGTTTTTTCTTTTGATGTATCTCACCTGTACGTCCAACAATTCCACATTTCTCCCCCCCTTGAATGGTGAATGTGAGTCTCTTCAGAACTGGTGCAAGGCCATCCCTGTATCTGATCGTGAGCTTGTCGAACCTGATGGCTCCCCATCGAGGCCAACCTGCAGGCGGTTTCTGCAGGGAGAGACCCAGCCATTCCCTCCCTTCCTGCACACATTTTCAATTTCAACAACCGAATGAAAAGAAAACGAAAACAACGAGAAAATGTTCAACAACTCAAGGAACTCACAAAGGTCAATACAATTATACAACGACAACGACAACGACGATATGACGACAATGGCTCTTCTGAATGGCTGGCTGCCATCAAGAAGGGGATTGGATAAAGAAAAAGGGGGAAAAAAAGGGGAACTGGAGAAAAATGTTGGAGTCAGTTTGGACTCTTGCTGAGGTAATTGAATGAGGGCATACTCACACAAAAAACTTTTTCTACTAATCTCTAGATGTGATTGTAGTCAGATTCATCCAGGTCTGGCTGTAATTGCAGTCAGACATACTCAGGAAATTGCAATATGAGTATGCTCTGGGATTGTTGTTTGTGTAAATGAAGTGGTTGGGAGAAGGAGAAAAGAAAAAACCATGGCTACGCCGGACCCGGACCCGGACCCGGACATTTCCAGACATGGAACCGGACCTGTGTCTGGTAGTTTCCGGACGTCCGGAATTCCGGACATTTCCGGACCCCCGGACATGGGGGGATCCGGACGGTCTGGATGTCTGGACAGGTCCGGAAATGTCCGGACCATTAGAAAAAAATACAAGTAAAAAAATCTGAAAAAACATTATGTTATGCAGAATAAGTTGAATAACAATGCAAACCGCTTTTGCCTCAGAGTCATGTCAGAATTCCTAACCAAACTTGAGTTAAAAGTCGAAAACTATAAAAAGCTTAAAAAAAGACTTAAAAAAACTAATAAAAGGTAATCACTTATTAATAATTAAAAAATTGGGGTTGTCTAATAAATTATTAGTTTATTATTATAGAGAGAGAGCATGTCCGGACCCCCCCAAAAAGCATAAACGGGCCTGAAAACCCCCCAAAACAATTTTGAGGGCTTGGCTCCTCAATGGGGAAGGGTCCTGGACCGTTTTTTTTTTTTTTTTTTTTTCTCTCGAAATTTGGCAGATCCGGACCTTCCAGACCGGACGTCTGGAGTCCGGACT